GGAGGGCCTATGAGCGTGGGTGAGGGGTGGGAGGTGGGGGCAGGGGTTCAGACACCCAACCCAGAAGCAGTTATGGAATGGCTATGGGATGATTCCAGAAGGAGGCGACTGTGAAGGGATTGTGACTTTGTGGTAATTCTACATCTCTTATCCTTCTTCTAGGATCAGGAGGTGCATCCCAGCACTGTAGACTTTTCTAGCTCCTCATTCCATTTCTGCCTAGTGGTCTCATTAGCTGCCCATCTCTGCTAGGAAAGTGGGTAGGCAGAAGAAATTGAGAATGTTCTGGGACCAGAGAAGGTACGGTATTGGCAAAGAAGGTTTTAACCTAGGCTAGGGAATGGGGGTGATTTGCCAAGAGTAGAGATGGGTTATCTGGACACTGGAGACTCAACTCTGTGAACTGAGAGTGCTGTGTATTGGGGGACCTTCACCCATCCCTTCTCTGTGCAGGTGCTGGAAGCAATTATGGGTCTTTCTGGAATAGTTTTAGGACTGGCATGCAGCCAGATCAGGAGGTAGCAAAACCAGAAATTTCTTGTGGCTTTTGTTTCGGGTACTAGACATCCTTGAACAGAAGTAGGGGCCCCCCAGAGTCCATGGCCCTCATTCAGCAGCCTCTCTGGACCTATTTGAAAAGCGTCCAGGGAGGCCAATGTGGCTGTGGGGCTGACTCAAACTGCAAAAAGCTGGGGAATTCACAGTCTATGCTCTGGCTGGGTCCCATGGCTTCGGGTTTGGCTAGTCCTGATCAGCTATGACTTCGACCCTTACACGCTGAAGGAGGGACTGGAAAATGGAGTAAGAAAAGAGAGAAAGGAGGAGAGTTAGTAAACTTTCTCAACCCCTCACTCCTCTTCCACCAAGGCCACCACACTTTGTACAAATATATGGAAATTTGGGTGCTGTTTAGGGTACCCTGATAATCTGTGTTTATGGTTTCTTGGTCTTCTTCCCCTATTTTACCTCAGAACTGATCTCCTTTGGGGACTAAGTCCCAGAGGAAGCTCCAAGAAGACCTCCTGGACTCCTACACTCTACCCCAGAACAGAGAGCCGGTGTCTAAAGCCCAGGCCTTCAATGGCCTGGGCCTAGTGGGCTAGACCAAGTAGTTATCTAAGACAGGAGAGGGTGCACCTGTTCTTCAGTTCTTTACCCCACATCCTAAGGAGGCAGCACCATCCTGACTGGGATGGGCCTCTGGAAGCTCTGCTAGAAGCCTGCTGTTGCCTACACAGTAGTGAGGTTCTAGTGGCTGGAGGGCCAGAGTCAGGAGTACCTGGATGACATTCGGTTTCTTGCTGAGTACAGAATTGCAGGGCTCCAGCTTCCATCTGTCACTGTCGTAAGCCTGCTTTGGATGCAGGTAGAGGGAAGTAAGGAAATGACCAGATTTGATTAAGAGCCTCTTGTGTGCCCAGCATGGTTCCAGGCCCTCTGAGAGGTGATGGGAAGCAGAAGCTACTGGACCAGGCCTCTGCCCCAGGACAATCTGAGCCCCTGGATGGGCAGCAGCTCTCGGGCTCACCCTCCACGACTGTCCAGTTGTGAGAGGATCTGCATGGGCTGAAGCCAGCCTGACTGTTGATCTGGGCCACCAAGGCCTTGCTCCTAGTTCTGCTTCTCCCTGATTTGTCCTCAACCTTTTCCCATGTCAGTGCCCTCCTGGATATGCCAGAAAAGTGACTGTGTAGTATATCATCCTAACTGGGATATTTTAAGCCTGAAAAAGGATGCTATGCATAGTCATGTCAGGACAATGGACATAAAGCAAAATCTTCCAGGGCAAAATCGAACATTTAGTCATTCTAGTGAACACCACTCCAAACCCAGCAGAGGTCACAGTGATGACGGGCACTGGGGAAGGGGAAGCTTGATGCTAAGGGAAAGGTGGGGGTAGCTTAATTCTGGGGGCAGCCCCACACGCCTGCACCCTGCTGTTATCAGCCAATTTCAGTCCTTTCCCTGAGGGCAGCACTGCTCCCAACCACACTGTCCCAGGACACAACCCGCCACTCTTGGGCGACTTCCCTTCGCCCTTGACTTGTAACAGCCTCACCTTTGGTTTTCCTGCCCCACCCCTACCTCAGATAGGGACAGAGAGGCCTGCCAGCTCCTCTTCAGCTTTCCCTGGGGGAACTGGGACCCATAGTGCAGCCAAGACTTAGCCTCATGCTTCCTCTTCCCTCTTCCCCATATCTGTAGCCTCCTTATTTTGTCCATCCAGCTTCCCAAAGCTCTGGGGACCACACTCTCCTGTAGGAAGGTCTGGCTCTGAAGCATAAACTCCAGGAAGGGGAGGGTATCAACCTTGCCCAGATAAAGGACAGGGTCACTTGCAATAAGTTTTCAAGGAAGTGGTGAGCAAAGTGGAGACCAAAGCCAGAGAGAAGCTGCTTAGCAGGAGATGGAGTCAGTTCCCATGGACACTAGAGTTTGCCTCTCTAATCTGGTCTGACTATTGGGGAAATGGTCCAGGGTGGGGACAAACTGTTCTTGCTCAACCCAAGCTCTAGGCGTTGGTGGCAGCGACTGCATCCTGCTGTGGTGACATATGAAAGAGAAACTGCCCTCCCTTCTGCGTCCTTGGTCCTCATGGTCCAGATGCTCAGGGCAGGCTCCCTGGAGAGTCCCCAGAGGTCCAGTGCTTGGGCATAGGGCATGAAGGCACTCCCGTGACTCTTGTTCACTCTAGTAGGAAGGAAGTCATTCTCATCACCAGCAAATGAAAAGGGCAAGTGAAAACCTCTTGGGAAGTCCTGCATTTGAAGTGATTTGTGGGGAGTAGGAGGTGGCGAGACCCCCAGGCTGGCTGGGGGAGGACAGGGTGGCTGGTTGGTCAATGGCAGCAACGAGAGGCAGAAACGGTCGGTGCTCTGTGAGTCTGATTGTGTGTCATGCTTTTGCAAACCTGCCCTGCAGGTCCCATGCCAAGGAATAGACTAAGCAGTGTTCCCAGAACCAGATGTCACACAAAGTCCTCATTCTGCACAAGGCCGAGTCCTGGTCCTGAGCTGGGTGTGGGCAGCTGCACCAGTGGGAAATTGGAGTTTGGGCAGGACCCAGTGGCTGGTTCCTGGGAAGCTGGTGCCTCTCACTGGCCTGCTGATGACAAGTTGAACCTTTGAGGTGTTACGCAAGGTGTGATATTCCAGGCACTGTGGAGTAACCATGGGTCCCAAGGCTTTGCTGGTGTCACGTCCAGTGTGTGCCATCTGCTGGCACTGGAGTTATAGCTCCAGGAGTAGCTACTTGCTGAACACTCACTTGGTACCAGGTGCTGTGCTATGTGCAGAACCATCGCTATCCTGTAAGATAGGAACCACTGTTATGTTCACTTGGCAAATGGAGAGACTGAGTCTTCGTGAGGTTAAGCAATATGCCAAGGTGACACGGCGTGCAAGGGGAAAAGTCAGGAAGGACTCACACTCAGGTATGCAGAAGCCCATGCTCTTAACCTCCAGGGAGAGCTACCACCTCTGCATTCACAGGATGGCCACAGGGCACTTAGTGTCATGTCTTGCACATTATAGGCCTGCAATAAATGTCTGTGAGTGGCAAGGTTAGATTTACTAACTAGTTTGAACAAGTTGACCTGAGAGCAAGCTCAGTTTGCCCAAAGGTTACTCTGGGGAAAGTGGCCTCTCAAAAGGAGGCTCCCTCTGTCAGTACCTTTAGACCCCAGTGCCTCTCTGGCAGTCTTGGGCACCAGAGTATGAATAGCAAAGAACTCCAGAGAGATAACACTGTGTAGAGAGATTGTATGGACTTGAATAAGACTTAAATGGTCTAGAAGGCAAATAAGAAACACTGTTTCAATTTCAAAGAAGCCACTTTACTGATAACTTACTAAGTGCTAAGTGATTGTCCCCTGGCCAATGGGG